GGTCGCCGAACTTTGTACATATAGCGCCAATATTGGCGCGTTTTGTGAAGACTACTAGCGACCTAAAAAGCCTTAGAAAGACAGAGAAAGCAAACAAAGCAAAAGCAGACTAAGAGGGCAAGAAGGAAAGATAGGTGTAGTTACGAGGCCCACTTAGTTAAATGAAAGTAGAGCGCGAGCGGGACATTTTGTCTTAAACCGCCCGGGTAGCTAGCAATAGCTAGGAGAAACAGAAGGAAAGGCACCAACACACAAGTGTGTTGAGTGCGATTTCCTTCTGTTGCTCGAAAAGCGGGTGGGGTAGCAACGAGGCCCAGGGGTAGGGGGGGTTGTGTGTGTGCCTATGCATGTAAATGTCCGGCCTGTGAATACTTAGCTGCAAGACGTGGACATGTGGTTACTTAGCCGTATGCAAGAAACCAAAACCCTTAGGAACAGGGGTTGACACACACACACACACATACGGAAGCACTGCCAGTCTTGAACACAAGTATCCAAGATTATGACCCTCCCAAGGAGACCCATCAAAAATTCAGGAGTGTCCTAAGGGAGATCAAGTAATTTGTTGTAATTTGGTCCGAGGGACATGTGTTTTTCCCGCAGAGTTGTTTTGGCAGACTTCCAATGACTCATGGACACAGCTTCGCCATTCACAGCTTCGGTGGTCGCAGTGCATGGATTCTCTTTGAGGCTTGGCCCACCATCACCGTATCACCGGCGTTGACTGGCTAAGACCCACGTTCCTCGTATCTACGGTTACCTGGTGTCCTGGTTCCTGGTGAGCCACCAGTGCCGGCCTGGGCGCTCCGCCCAGGCTTCAATGCCCTCCTGGTGGTGGATGCAGCAGCGACGTCTCCAATCAGCTCAAGTTCCTGGAGGTGACCTGGACTGCGACCGGGGCGACCGGTGGATTTTCGGGGGCGAGCTGAATGGACACGAGAGAAACAGTGTGGAGGTGATCTGTGCAATTTGACTGTTCTGAACATGACATGCGTTCGCTCATCAGATGTGCAGACTGCACTGCTGCCTGCCTCCACCGCCAGGCCACGGGGGCCCCAAGCCGCTCCAATTGGGACCCCAGCAGCCGCTGCCGCGCGGCCGCTGCTGCGGAGGCCGCCCTCTCGGGCGGCGGCGTGCGGGTGGACTTCAAGCTTTGGCCCCAACGGGCGCCGCTCGGACCGCGAACAGGGAGGTGAGACCTAGTGAGATGCGAGAAGGCCTGAATGTCATGGTCTTTACATGTCTCTACCGTGTTGACTGAACAAGCGATATCAAGACTACGAAAGGCCAGGTCTCGGAGGAAGACTTGTGCAGTTGGCCAGATTCCTTGGTACACTTGGAGGAAGACGCACATGAAAGTAGAAAACCACCTGATTGTAGAGGAACATTTTCATCTAAGGGCAAGTGTCCAACTCCCGTGAATATTTGAGGGAGTGTAGATCGTTTGGACAGACGGGGGTGGCGCAGATAGATGGTTTGCTGGTGTTTGCCGGTGTAAGTGGTCTTTGACACCAATTAAGGCACACTATACACCAGGAAGTGGAACACCCCCTGTTCGTAGAGGAAAGTAGTCTTCCAAGGGACCATTTTGCACTTCCATGTTAGTGAGTCAGAGTGTATCAGAAACAATCGCAGCATCTCGGCGCGTATTATTGAAGTTTGATGAATTGCTCACGCTCGAATTGCCTTTTCTTCCGCCGATTGTTCTTTTTGCAGCCTTTTCTGCCGCTTTTGGCCACTCAGTGTCCAAGACTTGGCGGATCCGCCGCATCATTGGGCCGTTGGGGATCGTATTTTGGGGACGACGATTCGAGCCAATCTCCCGGTGACAATGGTACAGACAGTCGACATGTAAAGACAAACATTTTAGCACCATTTTCAGCCGATGCTGCTGCTTAGCCACCGTGCACCAAACATTGTTGTGCTTGACATCAAGTGGCAAAAGAAAGCAACTTAATGCACAGGCTGACAGGCAGATGTCAGTTGAAGGGGGTGTATTCCAAGCGCAGCCAAATGGAGTAGTATTCAAGATGTTCGACCTCAAGTCATCGTCAAGTAGAACATAGAATCTTAGAACAATCCAAGCCTAAGCCCCATGCCACCATTTACCCATCACTTCAATCATGCCCCAGCTTCTTCTTTGTTGACACCATCCGCGCTCCATCGCCCCCCCGACCTGCGACCGCCCGGTCCAGGCAGCTCACAGCGCCGCTGCGGACGGACTTCCACGTGTGCTACTGCAGCTGGGATCCTCCGACTCCCGGGACGTCCGAGCCGTTTCCAGGAGGAGGAGGTATGGGAGCCCCCCGAGGGAGAGCAAGGTTTTGAAGAAGTCGGGACCGTGGGGGGAAGTGGTTTCGTGGGACTCCGTTCTTCGGTGGGGGCCGTGTTTGTGGCTGAACGCCTGCAACTTGCGCATATGGGCGGTGGAGTGGGCGGTGGATCTTGGTACAACTTTGCTCGCGAAGATGGCAGCAAAGTTTGACTCGAAAGCTCGCTGCTGCTGAGTCACGAGACACCTGAGTCCATGCAGTACCGATCGCTGGTTGGAGCGAGTCTCGGTCCAGGCGATGCTGGCTGTGATGAGACCTGGAATTGGCTACAAGTTGGCGTCCTGCGACCGGTCCGCATGGGGGGGGGCCTGGACACAGGCTCCCTTCAGGTTTGGGACACGAAAGTTTGGACCACCAAAAGTAAAAGCATCTATTTATTCAACTCTGGTCCCTGGCATGTGTTGTCTTTTTTTAACCCTCCCAGCCAGTCCTGACTGAGGACAGGACAGCCGTTAGCGAGCTCCGTTTTTGAACCGTTTTGGTTCCCGGCCGGACCGAACGAGGAAGACGGCCTTGGCCGTGGGACTGTCCTTTGAGAGTGCTTCGGCCCTTCGCTTTGCCCAGAAGCCAGGCGCTCGCCGGGCCACGGGACCGATTGTGGGAGAACGAGCGGCGACCGGCCAGACCGTACAGCTGCTGCTTGAAGGGCTTGAAAAGCGCCTTTGGGCCTTTGGGAGTCCGGATGTTTTTCCGGTGTCTTCCTTTTTCTCGTTCGTGAGTCGTCCGAGGCACTTGGTCAGTGGGCTGGTGGGCTGGTGGTTACTGGCCTTTATCGGGAAGTCGCTGGGAAGGGTGGAATCGTTTGTCTGGGGGAGGCTGAATGGCCCAAGGTTCTTCCAAGAGATGGGAGTGGATCGTCGAGGTTCTCTTGCACGTGGCCCTTGGTTCTCTTGGTTTCCCATCTTGCAAGTGCTTCTCCAGCTTACTAATGATAGGTCGCCTAGATGGGCACTATATATATATATATATATCCTAGATAGATGTGGAAGAACATTGTGTCCGGGTCCGCAATGGTTCAGTGACTCTGGCACTCCAGGCACGCTCACGCTCTATGCGGGGATTGGCTCAGGGCCCTATGTCTCAAACCGCTTTCAGGTGGACAGAGAGCAGTGGATGGGGCGGGCCGAGAGATTGCTCGTGGCTTTTGGACGGTTGCAATGCATGCTCGTAACGTGTGCAACTGACCTCACATAGAACCAAATGAACCGGGGGGCAATTTGAACCAATTCGACAGAGTTGGGTTCGCCAGGGTGCTGCACTCTTGAAGTTACTGACCTTGGACCAAGTGCAGGCCATTCCATCGCGTGGGGCGAACGTGCGGAGCAGGAGGGGCGGGCTCTTCTGGATCAGAGGCACCGAGGAAGCTAAGTGCATGCCATGCACACATTAATCATTAATCATCAATTATATATATATTTTTTTTAAAATTGAGATCACTCTGAATATGCTCTGACAATGGTGTCAAAACCTATGTACCACCAAAAAGCCGGGTTTCACCACAATTTCAGGGACAATGGAGACCAGTCATCACCAGTCTACTCCTGTCTCCAGCTGGTTGTGCCTGGGAAACCGCGGCTCGGGACATCGGGGCGGTGGTCCTGACAATCGTCTCCTTTTTCAGGCCCTTAGGGGTTTTCTTGGAGTTTTCTCAAACTACTGATTAATATCCTCTTTTCAGGAGACTGCTTTATGAATGGACTGGTCCAGATGGGGAGGCGTTCTATCAGAGGTCTCTAGCGCCACTCTTGCACTTCTCAACGCACCAGGAATGGGTTGGGTATATCTGTCGAATTCTATCGCTGGGGCGGAGGGCCGTGAAGGAGCCGGTGGATCCGGATGTTGGTGCTTCTAGCCTTTGACACCTTCCTTCTCGGTCGCCGGCGCCCCGCCGCCCTCTTGGCCGCTTCCAGCCACGAACCCGACGGGTGAGACGAACGCCCCGAGTGCGGGCGAAGCCACAGCGACCATGGATGAGCGGCTCTTCGATGCCGCGCGGCGGAACCAAGCGGAAGAGGTGGAAGAGGTCATCAAGGCCATGACCGGATGGTGCAGGAGACAGACCTGGCATAACCTGAGTATGGCCTAGTGAGTTGAGGAAGTGCTTGGTTTTCCACCTGCCAGGTGTGGCTAAGGAGCTTTAGACCGGTGGGAGCTTTAGACCGGTGGGCCCCCCCCAAACACCACCACCAGGTCCAAGGATTGCCGCTGGTTCCGACGCGGCGGTGCAGGCAAATCCTGAGCTGCTGAGCCTCCAAGACCGCTGGGGCCTTACCGCGCTGCACAGCAGTGCCGTGGCGGGCGGTGCGGAGGTCATCGCCGTGCTGCTGGAGGCGCGGGCGGAGCTGGAGGCACCCAGCCGCAGTGGGCTGCTTGGAGACGAAAGTTTGGGTGGCACTGAAGTGGACATTTAGTGAAACTAAACTGAAACTAATGCAAAAAAAATCAAGTGGGGGGATAGGTATAGTTTACACAGTGGGACAGGGAGATGGATGGGTAATGTTTGCCTAAACCTTGGAGATTTGCTCTGCACGTGGATTTGCGCTCTGACTGAAGTCAGGAGTTTCTTTGGGTTTCCTTCGCTGATCGGATGGTAGGTGTTTGGAGTTGCTGATAGGTATAATATGGTAATATGGTATATACATAATACACCCTTCCACGCCGACTTGCAATCCGTTCTGCCCCCCAAAAACCGCCCTTCCACTTGCGAGGTACTGGAGGCCCATCCCCATCCCAAAAAAATTTGAATGGGTAGGTGGAGTCTAGTTAGGATAGTGCTCTTCTATTATGGTGAACTAGTTGCACGCGCCTTGTGCACGCTGGCGGCCTTGCTTGATGGCTCCCAACAGGGTCTCACCTGTGACCTGTGACCTGTAGCTGAAGAGATGTGATACACTGGCTCACTAACCTAGATGTGGAAAACCATCTGTTTGTAGAGGATATGGTTTTCGCAGTGGCCATGTTCCACTTCCATGTTAGTGAGTCAGGGTATAAGAATGCATAACATATGGCCCACTGACCGCCTTTCAGCCTCATTTTTGAATCCCCATGGTGGACTTGGATGGTTTCAGTGGGCAGGGTGCCCTGGCTGTTTTCCACACATATAAAAATAGATGTAACTCATATCATATATCATACACATATAAATTATATAACTATATATATACATACACAGATACATACATTATTACAGTATATCTATATATCTATATATATACACCTACACACATGCACATAACACAGACATTTTACTATTGTTATATATATATATTTGCAATATGTGTCTATAGTGCTTGCTATGGCGGCATCATGCCATGTCATGCCCATGAGTCGGCCATGTCAGACCTCACCCCGAGGCAAACGGCGCTGCACTTCGCCGCGCGCGAGGGCCGCGATGCGGCCGTGGCCGAGCTCATCCGGCGGCATGCGGACGTGTCGCGGCGCAGCGCCCACGGGATTTTGCCCCTGGAGCTGGCGGCAGGGCACCCGAACACGCAGCAGCTTGGGTTGAGAAGTTTTGGGTTGAGGAACCCTTGTTTTTGAAATATAGCTTGGGGCCTTTTATGGACATATAATTATATATATATATATATGAACAGTCAGATGCGATTCGGTTATCCTCGGGGCTGTCCAACTGAAAGAGAATTTCAATGCAAAGGGCGGACACATCGACGGTTCGTGGGTGTAGGAAGTCCCCACGTGCAGTGTGTTCACAGAGTTCGTTCATCCGACCGAATGGTGATCGGATTGTGGAGACCCATTTTCTCCGGGTCATGGTGATTGACATGACCCCTATTGGAGACCTCGACAAATAGTCGGTGTTGATGGTGACCCCTATTGGTCACCATGGACCGATGGCCCCTCCGGACTGCGGACTGTGTTGCAGGCCATTGGTGACCGGTTCAGGCGGTGACCGGCCAAGCTGAGGCAGTTAATTCGAGAAGAGGCAAACCGCCGTATCAAGGCCTGGAAGCCTGCTTTTGAAACGCCGACCTATCGACTAGGGCCATCAGGAGCTTCATAGATGGTCTGAGTCTGAAGTGAACCTTCATCTAGTTTCAGATTTGCAACAGGGTGGCGTAGAGAAGGTCGCCCTCCATCAGAGTGCACATGTCCAACATCTTGCTCCAGAAAAGTTGGGGTGACGACCTGGGGTCCTCCCCCTGGCTTTGTAAGCTGCCGGTGTTTTGGGGCATTGGTTTCGTTCTGGGTGGGCCCATTCCTGGAGACACCAGAACGAAGCGATGGCTGCCGTTATGCTGGGTTTTTTGGTACCAAGCCACCCCGTCGGCGAGGTGGCCGAGCAAGACATTGAGATGCTCCAGGAGCGTTTGCAAAGGGCTGTCGAGGCGAAGGAGCTCTTGGAGGCGTTGGGGGCGAAGGGCGAAGGGCTGACGAGCCGAGCATCCAAGGGAGAGACGGAGGGAGACGAAGACATTGAGGATGTCTGACATGATTCTGGAGGGCATCATCGGTTGCAAACCAGTGGGGTCCAAGGAATAAGAAAGGATATCACTTTAAAAAAAGAAACATAATTGGCCAGAAAGACCCGTATTCTACACCCATCGACTTGAGTTACTTGTTGGCTTCGACACGGGGGGTGAGGATGGGGCAACCTGACCCTTGGGGTGTGCCAGGGGTGCTTGCCCTCTGGCATCTCTTTGACTTACGTTTGTTCTAGTGATTCTAGTGATCTTTTGAAAGGCGGGGGTCGTGTTTTGGTAGATGGATTGGTTGGAAGCACACACCAAGGTTGATTCATGAGAATCATTGAGACATATTGATGCCTCTTTTTGCCGCCAAGAGATGTTTTTTGTTATTTTTCTTTCTTCTTAGGGCTCAGTGGATTTCATTTTTCTGAGTGCGGGGGATCTTCACTCGTATCATGTTGTATCCTAGGCCGTAGTCTGTGACACGCCCTCCCCCAACCTTCCACCCCACACCAAGTCTACCAAGCAGGGCAGACTTGGGCCGAGATGCTCGGCTATAGGCTATTCGTTGTCAATTAATTAAGCAGCCCAGGACCATGTGAGGCCAGTTGTTTCAGGCTGAGACCAGAGTGACTCACCCACTCCGAGAGTTTGCTACTAGCTTCCCACGGTGAGTTTTGGCACCCAGAAATTTGTCCGTGGCTTCTGGGCATCCCTGTTGTTGTTGTCGTTGTTACTTCTGTCGAAGGGTCCAGGTATAGACATCCCGGTGGTTTCGCGGATAGTCCTTTATGCATCCCTCTTCTGTATGGAAGAACTCCTCTTCTGAGGAGGGTTGTGTTTCCTCCCAGGTTCCTGGTCAGCAATCCAAGTCCCGGTTTCTTCGTCACTTCTCTGGCAGTTTTGACGTTTAGGCGCAGCTGACGGAACCACCCGCTAGCCACCACAGCACCATGCTGAGTGCCTTGATTTGATGATGTGCCTTTCTGAACTACGAATCAAGGGACAATAATGAGACATCAACCAGTCGTGTATACCTATTACCCAAGCCTCCACCAATCATCATGAAGCGAGAGACGGGGAATTATTTGTGATTGATGCATGATGTCGGGGACGTTTGACGTCATGGACGTAAATCAGTTTTCCCCCTTTGGGTCAAGGATGGTTATAGGGAATCTTATTCCTACAATTCTCACCCCACACCAGCACCAGAGCCAAATAGAGAATGGCCCAACGCCTGGAAGAAGATGTTTCTCTCCCCACTTCAGCACCACGCACCTCCGATTTTCCGCCTCGGCGCCTCTTCTCCGAGGTGATGCCGAGATCCTGGCGCCCATCACCGCCCTGCAGCAAGCCACCCGCGACCTGGCCCGATCCGCCGCCCTGGCGGACGACGCCTCGCAGGACTACTGGCGCCGGGCCGCTGCGTGGCTCGGGGTGCAGCGGCACCGCGGCTGGGCGGCGCTCTACGGGAGCTACATGCGCGACCCGGTCAACGGTGCGGGCGCGGCTGGCGCGTGCATGGAGCCGGCCAATGCGCCGCCGTTGCCAGTCTTTGATCCGGAGAGAGTTGGGGTGGTGGGATGAAGGCTGGTATATATTGGATATATTGGAAGAAAGAGGAAGAAGCAGAAAGAAAAGGAAGAAGAAGAAGAAGAAGAAGAAGAAGAAAAAGAAGAAGAAAAAGAAGAAAAAGAAGAAGAAAGTGGCCTCCAAAGCCAGTTGGCGCTCTAGCGATTCTTTGGCTCTTGGTTATATTGGTTATGTTGTGGCCGTGCTGTAGTATTAAGGTCTGTCTGTGGCCGTGCTGTAGTATTAAGGTCTGTCTGTCAGTGCCCATGTTGTGTAGGTTGGATTGGCCACA